TTGAGCCACCACGGTTTACTGTGACCTTGTACACCCTGTTGGGTTAGGAGTCATATAATTTCTTTACTTTTTATTCCTTCAATTAGTTCCGACTCGAATGGGTATTGCTTTCCAGACTCGCATACTTTGCGTTCTAACCATCCCAAACCATTTTCTATAATCTTCAGGTCGGGCGAATGTATCGCCCAGATCAGTAAAGGCACATTTTGACGCTCAATCCAAGACTTTACGACTCTCGAAGTGTGGATAGGCGTTATCCTGCTGGAATTTCACTTCCAAGAACCCAAAAATATCTTTGATGACAGAAAAAGCTGTTTACAGTACATCAGTGTATGCTGTGGCATTCATACGGCTTGTAAGAAATTACAGTTTTATGGTTCCTTAATATGTAATTGCTTCCCATACCATCACCACCGGCACGGCTGTGCCTTCGATCTAAAGTATGCAAGCCTCAATAGATACAGATACAGCTGTTGATAACTAATTAACAACGACTAGGATTGAAGGGATTTTTCGACTCTCATAATAACTACAGTTGATCTAACGGTACCTAATCACCACTTATATCTTCTTTAACTATTCCTTTTTATAAATGTGTCGCAGTTTTAATAAGCACGGCAACGTTCAATTATTAATTTTGATTTTTATGTTGAGTTGTGCGATTTTGCCGTGCCAGCTTATTAGCAACGATTTCAAAAAGGGTCAACATTTTTGTATTTTCGGTATATTTTTATACAAATTAAGTAAGTTTTTGTAGATTATGGTTCTGAGAATGCATTTTAATCAAATTTGGTCAATAGAAAATATAATCAATCATGGAAAAGGGTAAAAGATGTACCCCGGCCTTACGTAAATCAATTTTGAGCTTCAGGACACTGGCATGTCCTATCAGGCAATATCAACAGACCTAAGTTGCTTAAAAACAATGGTTTTCAATGATCGTATGCATTTGCAAAGGTATGACACAATATAAAATATTACACGCAAAAAGAAACCGCGCAAAACATCGGCGCACAAGGATAGCAAGGTTGTTCGAATTTTGATCCACGTAGGGGATCTGTAGACATTGAATTTTGGTATCAAAACGATGCAACAATATCTTAAGACGCGGTCGCTGGTCGTTTTGGTTGAGGCTAGGGTCCATCGGCGAAACTTACGCATCAAGAAAATGGTGACAATTGCGCAAAGACGACGACGAATTTTTAACAGATGGAAATATTTAGTCCGGACTGATGAAATAATTATTAACCGGCTTGGTCTTGATGGAAGAAAATATATGCGACGCCAAAAAGTAGTAAAACTTAATCCAAAGTGTGTACAACTGTCGTCAAGTATGGTCGAGGCAAAATAAATATTTCAGAGTGTTTCTCATGGAACGGAGTTGGTCTCATATTCTGCATCGAGAGGATTGTGACTTGGGAGAAGTAAGTCGATATATTGAGGGATGTCTTAATAGCATAGGCAAATAAAAATACAAGTAAAAAAGCTAAAGTCGGGTGTTCCGACTTTGAAATACTCTGTACATATGTTTAGAATAATTATAGAAATTGAAAAAGTAAGAGAATTAAAAAAGAACTTTTGATCGATTTTACCGCTTTTGGTACTCGAACTCACGTAAAGGGTGTATAATTGCACATATACAAAGCAATTGCGTCTATGTGAGTGTATGTATTCTCATGCTCGTATATTCGTGTCTGTGTAAGCATGTTTGCAGTCAACCAAAGCACCAGCATCAACAACAGCCGCGGGCAGCGCTGCAGCAGCAAATATATTTATGGCTATAACTTCTTGTTAAATCGGTCTATCATGATGAAACTTGGCATACGGACACATAATTACTAACTGGGGGTATTTTTTTTAAATTTTAGTTCGAAATTCTAAGAATTACGGGAGTTAGAGAAAATCGCGATTTGCATGGGAGGGGGGAGGGAGGGAAATTTCAAAATACACATTTTCTGCGTATTCCCATAAAGCATCTGGGACTAAAATTTGGTGACCGTAGGTTTTATAGTCTCGGAGATATAGGCGATTATACGAATGGAAAATCGGGAAAACCCCCATAGGGGGGAAGTGGGGAGAAAATAAAAAAAAAAAAAAAAACTTGCACAGCGTACAACGCATCTTTGTGTAAAGTTTGGTGTCTAGCTCTTATAGTCTCTGAGATTCAGGTGTTCATACGGACAGACATACAGACAGGCTAGATCGACTCGTCTCGTCACGCTGATCAAGAATATATATACTTTGTGGGGTCTGCCACGCCTCCTTCTGCCTTTTACATTTTCAGCTCCCGCAAACCTAATATACTCTTGTACATTTTATGTACAGAGTATAATTACGGGTGCTTGTGCCTATAAGCAAGATAATGAATCTAAACATGCGGCGCGTCCAACAAACCAATTTTTGGACACAAGTTTTGTTAGAGTTATTGAATGGCCATCGTGCAGCCCTGATCGAAATCACATAGAATATTTACGGGACGACGTTAAAAAAGTGGTCGCCCAACAGAATGTAGCGAATTTGGACGTCATTCCAAAAAATTAAGGATGCGTGGTATGGAATACCTGTGTAAAGATGCTAGCGCTTTATAATGTCCTTGCAGCGCCGATGTACAGCTATTAAAGCAGAAAAGCTTTCCCACCAAATATTAATGTTGTAAAATCTAAAACTATAATTTTATTGGATTATTCCTTAAGTTTTCATATATTTTTTTTACAAATCAAGTAAACGTTGCTTATTATTTGTCTCCGTCAAACCCGCGGTATGGGCAGGAAATCGCTCATAAAAAATATTTTAGTTAGAAATTTGAACTCAACTGTGGTTTGTTTTTAAGTTCATAGGTCTCACATATAGAATATGTAAACATTTTATGGAGCACATTAAAAAAAGGAGAAAAATGATGAAATCCTCAACCGGCACCATCGTTGTTAATTAGTTGTCAACAGCTGTAGGTGGGCCGCCTTTTCATATTTTTTCCACAATTATACATTACTTAAAAATGAGAAAATAACTTTACGGCTGCGTTTAAGTATGTTTGTTATTTTAAGAGTCGAGTGGACACACTCGGTATGTCTTTATTTTTGCATTTTTGGCATCATTCAACGCTTTAGCTTTCCCCATATTAACTCAATTTAAATGAAAATTGGTTAAATTTTTTAAATAATAACTTAAATAAACCAAATCCGACAAAACACTCGCAAAAACTAACACTGAAGAATAAGTGTGCTAATCGGCTGTCGCAAAAAAAATATTGAACATAATACAAATTCAGAGTACTGCGTTATATGGATTTGCACTGAAAGGTTAAAGAGTGTGTTAATCGGTTGTCGCGCAGTGTACAACGGTGGACAAAAGTATTTTGACATTAGAAAAATACGATTGTTATGCAGATTTTTTATGATTTATTGATTCTTGATTCTTAAATTCAAAAATTGAGAATTTTTCATATTACAGTTTCGAAACTAAAGTCAATCTTTTATAACTGTTGATGGAAAAAAGTATTTTGACATTTCAATGTTGAGGGAAAAAGTTAATATTGGTAAAAAAATAACAAAAATATTATTAAAAATTAAACCCTCCTTTCATATCAATAACCTTTTGTAAGCACACAGGAATTGATTTTACGAAATTTTTTAATATTTCTAATAAAATATCGTGGCGAATTCCTTGAACTTCAGCAGTCGTCTCATCGCACGTCCTTGATAAGTTTGAACTTCGTTTTCTTTTTTTATAAGCCCACACATTCTCTATTATATTGAGATCGGTGTGATTAGTTGGCCAATTTAAGGTATTGACTTCGACATTCCCCAAAAAAGCAGTTTTCATATGGGCCTTGTGGAATGGAGAGTTGTCGTGCTGGAGGTCCACCATGTAATCCCCATTCGCACATGGGCCTCATTTCTTGGCAAATATAATACTTGTTCCCAAAACGATTGCGACTTGTTTATTGGAATTTGGCGAATATTAAACTTTTTAGATTATTTTTTGTTGGAATTAAAGGAATAGGACGAGCTATATATGCAAAAAATCGGCCTCCCTTAGCCGTATTTGGACAGTTTTTCTACTTATTGATATTTTATGGTGCTTTTTGAGCTCACTTGACACTGCTTTTGGTGTTCATCACATTTTCCTTAACGTTTCCTCAATATTATGCGGCCTTCTATAGGCTTTGTTTTGCGTGGTCTTCCCGATCTGAGCTTATTTTTGAAGGAATAATGCTTCTGCTTTCTGTTAATTTGTAATACATTTTTTGTCTAGGTATGTTCTATTATTTGCTAAGGTATTCTACAGAAGTTTTTGCTTTATACTTAGTGAATTTTTCACTTCTAATTAATTTACTTATTTAACGTGTTTTGCCTATAATTTAAAAAAAAAAATGCGATCAAACAGTGATTATTATTGATAAAAATAAGAAAAATCATGAAAAGCAATGTCAAAATACTTTTGTCCTGACAAAAAATCACAATCTACTACGCAGATAATCATAGAAAAGAAATGTGTTACGTTATCAATGCAATCTTTTTTTCTCTTTAAGCTTTTAATATTTTCTTTCTCTTAAAAATTGAATGGATACGGTTACTATTTTAAGTTTGCAGAAATAAGCGGTTTAAAATTTTGCAATGTGTTGTCAAAGTACTTTTGTCCACTGTTGTAAGCCATCTTTGTGCAAAATTTGGTGTCTCTAGCTCTTAGAATCTCTGAGATTTAGGTGTTCATACGGACAGACGGGCGGATAGACAGACAGGGCTAGATCGACTCGTCTTGTCATGCTGATCAAGAATATACATACATATATACTTTCTGGGGTCTGCCAAGCCTAATTCTGCCTGTCACATTTTTCAGCTTGCGCAAACCTAATATACTCTTGTTTATTTCATGTACAGAGTATAACAATGCTTAAATAGTGGGCAATTTAAATTACTGCATATTATATATAAACCATAAAATAGATCAACGAAAAAAAGTAATTGAAAAAAGATTCACATACTTATTTAAAAACTTACCGGCCATGACAGTTGAACAGTATATACGCCGTACGTCAAACAAAACACCACCAGTGAAAGCAACAACAAACGAAATCTGCACAAACTGACGCTATCGTTGTGTGAAATGTGTGGGCCTATTGGTGTTTGTGAGGGGCAGCACTTGTTATTAAACAAACAAAAGTAAATAAAAAATGGTTTTGATAATATTCCTTGTCCTTTTTATTAATTAGGTTTCCTCGCCCTGCATTTAGAATGTCTTTTGTTTTAACAATATGTTTGTTGGCATTAGCGCTATGCTTTTAGTATTATTTCCTTTATACACATACATAAGTATGTAGTTTTTGTTGTTGTTGTTTTTTTTTGCAGCTGCCGATGAACACAATTTAAGAAAGTATGTACGTACATATGTACATACATATAAGTGCCGCCGAATTGTAGGGAATAAACTGCAATATAGGAGAATGGTTCCTTTTGTACGACGCGTCAATATAGTATCGGAGGCAGAGACGCAAGCAGCGGTTAAGTATACAGCCGGTGGTTGTGCCAAAAGGATTCGTATGTATGTACTACGTACATACATATAAACATATATTTGTATAAAAGCACGTTTTCGTGAAGCGTAAATCCGTTAAATAACGCGATTATTATTATTGCTGAAATTCGTCGCTCTCTTTTTTGTTGCAATTGCTTTGACTCTCGTCGCTTTATTAATTATTTATGTGTTGAAACACAACGGATGGTAATAATCTAACCTGTAAAATGTAGATATTTGCTTATCACTTTCATAACTAATGCATCACGAAAACATTACTGGCACTGGTACCTTTGGTACTCGCGTGTGACAAATCCAATACATATGCACATACGAAAGCTAGTATATACATTTATATATAGATATACATATATATGTACCAATATTTATATATAAATACAAATATATACATGTGTATATATAATTTGCGAAAAAAAGAACCGAGCAACTGCGTTAAGGTTCTCTTTTGCCTGCTTCTTCTTCCACTTTTTACCGCTTCTTTTGCCGCTGTCGCCAAAAATAAATAAATTGTTCTGCTTTAGTATTTAAGCACTCTTATTCTTCCAAATAATACAATATGATTGAGGTTACAACACTTTGAACTTAACGTAAAACTATCTTATTTTAATAATTTCAACGTACAAATGGAAGTACAAAGTATTACAGTTCCGCACTATACTCTAAGAGTTCCAAGCTAGCAAAATGCCGCTTATGACGGCGCAGCGTAAGCATTGTAGTACTGTATAATGAAATTTCGGTTCAGTGCTCTAAAATCATGAAAATACCACCTTTGCATACGACAAAATAAGCTTTTTAAACGCGCAGTGTAATCAATTGGGTATTCTACCATTGCTTAATTCATTTTAAGTCAAAATTACCGCGTAATCGGTTGGAAAATTCGGAATAGGTTTTAGTATTCAACTGGAGAATTTTATTGTCTGGGGAAGCAAGTACTCAACAAACATACATACGTAAATATGTATATAGTAGTTTTGATTTTTAGCCTTCTTTTGGTATTTTTATTTAATACAACTTTTTAGTAAAGCAACTCTTACGTCGGCTCTGCTGGAGACGTATAGTGTAATTACTCCCAAAATTATAATATTTGTTATGCATAAGTAGATTCAAATTATATACATATGTATGTACATGTATGTAATATAAGTTTTAAAAATGTAAGAAAATATAATTTTATGCGATTCATATAGCACTTTGTTTGCTCAAGTTGTGGTATAGCTCTAGTAGTAGATATGTATGTAAATACATAATTTTCCATTAGAAAACTCACATTTTCTTTTTTTTTTACCCTGTACCCAAAGTGTAAGCTAGTTTTGTTCGAATGTATATACATACATACATACATATGTATGTAAAGAAGGCCATCCACAAGTGAATTGGTTGCCTGAAATTGTTTGGCAGCACAAAGGCATTTGCCCACTAACGTGCCGAACATTGCACCCAAACATCATTTGCGACAAAATTTCGGCAAGTGCGCACATTAAAATAAATGAGGTCGAAAACACAGGTTTCGTCTTGATGGCAATTCAAATATGCTTACAGCAACAAAATGAGTACATGCTTCCCATGCTTTATTGCGCAAATATTTATTTTTATAATATTTTTCTAATTTTTGGTGACATGATGCCCGAAAATTATTTGGGCGTTTTGTCCGCTTTCTCGGTGCCACACAACTTCGAAGCCAGCTGTCAGCAAGAGCTGACTGTCGACGCTCACATTTGACTGACTACTTCCGCAACAGCTGATTGTCGACGATTACATTTGACTGACTGTGTTTAAATTCTGTAACGTACTATGTTAAATAAAAAACAAAAGTACCATTTACATTAATTGCATTTGCGGAAACGTCATTTAATTGTTGATAAAATACAACACTAAGGTTTGAGATGCGTATCTGATCCCACTAAAGAATTCCTTATGTTGCTTATTAAAAATTTAATTTATTTGTAACATTTTTTATAAAATCATTTGGAATTGGGAATTTTGCGCAATATCGGGGTGTCCTGTTATAGCGATTAGGTTTTCCCCTTGCAAGAAACTATCAATTGAAATTGAATTAAGAAATTAAAAAAATTGACTCGCATTTCCTTTCACTGGTACGTATTGTATTTTTAAATGGCGGCTTATTTCCATTCAGTTTTCCGCTAACACACAGACCTGCTCACTCGGCGATACACAATTTTCGCCAAGTAGGTTTAATTTGTACACAGTTATTTGCAGGGTTCGTAAAACGAGCTCAATGATCTCTGCTGCACGCACATGCTGCGCTGCCTTGAGCAGTATCGTACAGGCCGGCAGAGGCTTTGAGCACGAGCCGAGCGCACGTTCGTGCTAGACAAGCATTTGTATGTATGTACAAGTATGTGTGATGTGTGAAATTTGTATGATGGCATGCTTGTGTGTGTATATTTTAAGAATGTGCGCGATCCTTTTTACTCTGTACCTGCTACCTACTCCTTTTAGCTTGACCCAGCTGTTTTGCCTAGGCTTGCACAATGGTACCTGATACTATTTTTTAAAGATCCGTGGCGTTGCAACTTGGCGTAATTCAAACGGCCTTTACTACCTAGTATTTATTTCCATACTAATAAAACCTAGTCAATTCGTACAGTTCTTTAGAATAGTTAGTTAATAAACTACAAATGATCTATTATATCCTATAGCCAAACTATTAAAAGAAGTTTATTCACAAATATAGTAATACATAGTTAATCGTGCCAAATGGAATAAAGTCGTGTAACAATGTAAACAATTTTTAATTTTCACACCGTATTAAATCAAAACCGTGTAAAAACAGAATTAGGTGTATTCTTTTGTAATTTTACAATTTAACATTTAACTATTGGCGCGCACTATTGGTATTGAGATGATAATTTGCCTTAAACTAGTGGGGGTATTGGCAAATATCGATAAAAATAATGATGAACCGCCAGTTTATTATAGTTTTTATGTGACTGGTGACAAATTTAAAAAAAAAAAACGGGAAAAAAAGCCAAACACATTTCTAAAAAATCCAGAATTCCCGCAAACAAAACAGCCAGATGTAACGGGGAAAAAGCGAAATCACACATGCATACATATGCCTGTCTAGCACGAACGAGCGTTCGGCCGCTGCTGGCCTGCACGATACTGCTCAAGGCAGCGCTGCATGTGCGTGCAGCAGCGAGCAGTGAGATCGTTTTACGAACCCTGGTTATTTAGTACTTATTTAATTCAAGAATTGCGTCAAATATATAATGTATGTTTGTCTTTCGTTTGACGCCCAAAGCAAAACTTAACTCAGCAAATTGTGATGTTCGATAAATGTATTTGTTTTGGATGCTGCGTGTGAATGTTAGTGTTTTAACTATAGATTTAGTAATTTGCTAATTTAATAATATTTACATAGGATATGCAAAATATTTTTGATGCAGATTGTTCAGAAGGTTTATATTCCAATAGTTTTTTTTACGAGGAAAAAGTTCTTTCTTAGTGTTTTTAATCAAAGCTCGTGGAAAACAAACGAGATTTGATACCTCCTAAAAGAGTGGTACCGAAAATTGGTTTTAACTCGAAACTTGGGCGGAAACGATTTCTGTGGCACCCATGATTATGCCCGTTTTCTTTTCGGACATAACGCCCAAAATTGCTTTCGGTATCAAGGCCCAAATTCTCCTTGATCCCCAAGTACATATTATGGTCTGATTGGTCTGATTTTTTAGCTTATTAAAACAAAATAAATTATATCAAAAATTATAATGACAATAATATCAGTAGGTTATTGACTATAATACATATAAATTATGTGATTTAACCACCCCATCCACACACGAGCATTTTGCCTGAACTTGTTGTGTTCGACAACAGGCAACATGCTCGCCTGTGGATGGGGTGCTTTAGTGACATTTATAAGTTTTCTTTTATTTTTAGCTTCAGAGAAGATCGAACATGATGAAATTATTAATTATACTAATTAATTAATTACTGTACATGAAACGCACAAGAGTATATTAGGGTTGCGCGAGCTGAAAAATGTAACAGGCAGAAGGAGGCGTGGCAGACCCCACAAGTATATTTATTCTTGATCAGCATGACAAGACGAGTCGATCTAGCCCTGTCTGTCTGTCCGTCCGTCCTTATGAACACCTGTATCTCAGAGACTATAAGAGCAAGAGACACAAATTTTGCACAAAGATGCCTTTTGTGTGTACGCTGTGCAAGTTTGTTTTATTTTTTTTATTTCCCCCTACCGATTTTCCGATTTCCATTTTTTCCTATAATCACCTTTATCTCGGAGACTATAAGACCTAAGCATCCAAGATGCCTTATGTGAATACGCAGAAAATGAGTATTTTGGATTTTCCCTCCCTCCTCCCCCTCCACGGGAATAACTGATTTTCCATATTTTTTCATTGAGATTCGGAAAATCCCTCCAGTTAGTGATTATAAGTCCGTATGCCAAGTTTCATAATGATAGGCCGATTTAACAGGAAGTTATAGCCATATATATAATTGCAGGCCAAGCACTGTCCGCAGCTGTTGTTTTTGTTGCTGCTTTGCAGAGGCACACGAGACATATAAAAACACACGCAAACACGCATATACAAGCATAATTATTCTACACATACATATGTACAAAGTATTTCAAAGTCGGGACACCCGACCTTAGCCTTTCTACTTGTTTTAATTGTACATTTAACCGTGTAACGTGGCATATACTTAAGTATAATAAATGTGAAGTGATTGACTATTTAGCGATAAAAAACAAAATAAATGACGTCAACATTATTGCAGGTGTGATAAAATTTTGTATTTCATTTATTTGAACTTATTTGAACAAATAAGCATCTTTACAAATATAAAAGCTGCAAAGAAAAATTCTGAATAAATCAAAGCTTACATTTGCTATGAGAATGGGTGTAAAGTTTCAATTCATTATAATGAAACTACAAATGTTCCCACTGCAAATACAAGATCAGGAGAACATAACCAAATCAATCAAGAGAAGCACATTGCAGAATTTAAACTAAATAGGAAAGGAATGCTAAAGTCAAGCGTGCTCAACTCTTAAACATCCTGTACCAAACCACAAAAAAATTTTTTTTTCTTAAATGTAATTAATTAATTAAATTAAATATAAAATATTCAACACATGAGTACATACATAAGTGTTTATGTCCAATTTCAACAGCACACATTTATATTGTAACGATGCTACTCTGCCGCGGGTATACTCGCCGGCCAGAGTGTGCTGAAAAGGAACTTATGGGCACCCCAAAGTGCAAATAGTGAAAGCCGCGGTTGCGATTTTCAAATATACATACATGCCTTAATTAATAAATATGGCCTTTTATTACACGTCCGACTAACCTAAAACTAAACTCCAGCCACGTTTCTTACTTATACTACTACAGTACATATCAACTTATATACCTAACTCATAAACTAGGCTTACAACTACATCCATGCCTTATACAGCCATCTCGCTCGTAACGAGCGTGTTGCAGCATCCAGTTAGCGCGTGGTTACACGTTCCCCTTTCCCCAAGGGGTCGAACGGACCC